CTCTTCCTGCAATGTTTGTGAGCAGGTTGCCGTTTCCTCACTTAACCATTGCTCACAGTGATCTGCCAACTAATCCACGTTTGGTTTTGTTGCTGTTTTCCTTGGATAATGTGGTCTCCGGGTGCATTTCCGCTTTTTGCTTGGATGAGTGGAATTCTTAACATCAAGTTTCTGGTGCAAATAAGCATGATCATGAGGGCAAAACTCCCTTCCCATGAATAACTTCTGGGATACATTCAAGCCCCAATTCAGATGGATAAATATGCATGGGAGCAAGAACGCAAGTAGTCCCATTAGATGGGAATTTCCATACTCTGAAAGTACGATACTTCTGTACCTCAGCGCTCAGTCTTGAAACTTATTTTGCCAGTAGATGAATCTCCTCACTCTTTGGAAAAAGCAAAAACAAGAGGCATGAACTTGTTGGCAAAATCAAACTGGCGTTTCACAGAATCATGGAATCATAGAATAGTTTGGGTTGGAAGAGACCTTAAAGATCATTTAGCTCCAACCCTTCTGCCATGGGCAGGGACACTTTCCACTAGCCTAGGTTGCTCAAAGACTCATTCAACCTGGCCTTGAACACTTCCAGGGATGGGGTAGCCACGGTTTTTATGCAGTGCTCACCCAGTGCTGCTAGGGGCTGGAGCTGATATCACAAGGAAAAATAATAGCACAGATGCCTATATCTGATCTAGTTAATGCCAATTTCACATCAAAGGACAATATTCTCCCTGCTTACCAATGGCTGAAAGCGATCTGGCTTTCCCTGGGGGCTTGCTTCCCTCAAAATAGGGTCACATTTAAGGAAGGAGCAGCCTCAGGGTCAGCTGCCACTGCATTTCTTGGGCACCCTGGAGGTTCCTGTTATGGTAAACAAAGGGTATGGGGAGAAAAGCCAGAGATCAGGGCCTGTGTTGGCTCTCAGGGCTGGGAAAAGCTTTGGACAAGCCCTGAAGTCCCTCAAGGGTTATAAAAAAAATACTGTCAGTAGTCATGGAAGTATGCAGGACACATGCACAGCAGAAATCCCTATCTAATGCCTACTGCAGAAATACATGGAGATGTCTACCAGTGGACTGACACCCGTTTTTGTGGTTTGATTCACATCAGGAACGAATCTCTGTCATTGCTTGGCTTTATTTCAGCACCACCACCACAACAGACACACAAGGCATACGTAAAATCCGACTGTTTTTTCTGCACCCACTGCTCTAATGGCACCTGTACAAGAGCAACCAGGAAAGAAGAGACATCACCAGCAGAGTAACACAGTCTCAGGAAAGCTTCACTGCCAGGTTTTCCCCGTACTCCTACACCCCCACTAGCTGTGCCGTGGGGCCGATATCCATTTCATGCTGCAGAGGGAGTGATCCAGCAGAAAGTTAGGATGCACTGGGAATGAAGTCACATGCAAAATCAGCAGCGGAAGCCCCTGCCACTGCAATACTGACTTTCAGCTCGCAGAGTTCACGGGCAGCCTGTCCTCACAACTTCTTCTGCGGGCTAAGGGGCCAGTTGGAGGTTTTCTGGATTTGGGGTTTTTTTTTTGGTTTTCCCAGCAAGCTGCTGTTGGCATCAGAGATGGCCTCTGTGACTCTGGAGGTAAAAATCAACAATCAAAGCTGCAAGCAAAGAAAAAGAAGGGGAAGGAGCTGAGGAAAACAAGGTACAAAGCAAAAACACATCGGCACCAGTAAAGTAACGCAGAAAAGGGTAACACACGGGTGAGTCCAGGCTGAAGTCCTCGTGTGAGGAGCAAATCACACACTGTTTAATAGGACAGTCCATTGGGAAAGATCCCAGAGGGATTTTTCTACCTGCTCCCTCATGGCAAGGCCAGTTGGGGATTTGTTTTGAATCTTCTACTTTGGGGCTATTAGCCTTTTCCCCCCATGCACTTTGCATTCACATGTGAGAGTGGCTGAGGAGAGATGGATGGGGCAGGCGAAGGACACACAACATCCTCAGCAAGCGATGTCGGAGTGTTTGCCATACCAGGCTGTGCTGCCAAGGGGCAAATGGCTCCATCCCCCTCCATAAATCTGTCCTGGGTGCCACTATGTCATCCCAGTTAACAGATTTACCCAGATTTAAAGTGAGAAATTTTAATCAAGAGATACTTCAGGACTCAATGACAAGAGGGATCTCTAAGCATGTGGTCAGCACTCAGTCAGGTCTCCAGCTGTGTTTCACTAATATGAAAGAAGAGCTTCCCACCACCCAAAATTGTAGCAGAAAGAAACTATTTTGCTTCTAAGTGCTTCTGTTTCTTGTCTTAAGATCCCAGCAGTTGATAGCAAGCCAAAGAGAATGACGATAAATTACACAACTATGGCAGAATATTACTTGGAGGAAGGAAACCACATCACCCTAATTCCAAGTGTGGAAGGAAAGAACACTTCTCCCAACAAAAAATACAGAAAGCATCCAGCAAAGAGGGGCAGCCAGTGTATGGGACCCTCCCCCAGCTATGGGACAGCATGTCTGCCTTTGCTCCTGTCACTGCTCTTTGTTTTGCAGTTGGAGACTCATTTGTTTTTCTTTTTTTTTTTTCTTTTTCTTCTGCAAGATATGTTTGGATGCTGTATTTTGATTAGTGGCCTCAGCAACTACATCGAGTTCAAGCCAGACCTCAGCTTTCAGAAGAGAAGGCAAAGAGGGAACACTTGAGCCCTAATCTTTGAAACAAATGTACAAAGATAAAAATATTCGTTAACCAAATCCAGCTTTTGTTTACACGTGTGTAAACGTGGGGAACTCCACTGGCTCCAGACTGGAGGACTGCCTGTTTACATCCATGCAACTGGAGCAGAATAGGCTGGTTGAGCTCATGTGGGTTCAAAATACCTTGAATTTCTTAGGATAGGAGTCTCTTCTAAGCTAAAGCTTCCTTACTCAGGCTGCAAAAATGTAGCGGCCTTAGAATAAGTTTAAATTGTATTATACTCATCTTCTGATATCTTTGCAGCAAGACATAAAGAGCTCTGAGGGTAAATGCCAATAAAGCTCTTCCTACTCTTTGCCAATGGGGTGGGAGTACACTGTGGCAGTGGCCTGGGGACAGGGACAGGAGCGTGACTTGCAGCGAGGAGATCCCCTGCCCCTCAGACTGCCCAAATCTCAGTCAGAATTCCTCACCAGGGAAATTATATGGAATTTAGCTACCAAGCCCCAAAAGACTAATATCTGGCATCTTTCCTAAAATGAGAAGTTGAAGTTGAAGCCTTTCTGCGTGAGCATCCATGCCGGCTACAACACAATCGGAGTAACCAGGGGCTCCCAGGGGCTCACTCAGATGTGCCACAGACCTCTGAAAACGGAGAGCAGCTTAGTACAGTGGAGTCTAGACATCTATCAGGTGAAACAGGTTGAAATGAAACCAAAGGAGCAGCCTCTTCAGAGTCAGCACTCACAGCCACCTGCTTTTCCAGCTTTTAGCACTCAAAATATGATAGATGAAATCCTGGCTTTGCTAGTTGAAGCCAACCAACTGAAGCTGAAGCAGAGTTTTGAAGTTTCAATGAAAAATACGTATCTTATGGCTTTTCCCAGCACAGTTACTACTGCCTGATAAAATCAGCCGTGTCTGTGACTGGCTTTCACAATTTCTTGTGTGGGATAAACAGGGCGAGCATGGCAACAGAGCATGCTGTGGGGAATGGCTTGTGCCTCTGGCTCAGGATGGACCAGTCTGGGGTGCAAGAGGCTCACAGCAGCTGGGGAAGGGTGTCTGCCTCTACCACCCACCTTCCTTCTCTCCTCCTCGAAGGAAAATCACAGCTGGGAATGGCATAGAAGTAACCTGGAGCTCTCTGGCAAATCCGGGCAGATTTGCTCTCCTTGTTATTTCAAGCTGCTTGGATGCACGGCTGCACGACGGTTATGGCAGCTGCTCCTAAACAATGCACCAGCACATGGAACCTGGGAAGTGCATGTAGTTAGTAATTAAAAAAAAATGGGAAAATTGAATTTGTTTTTGTGTATGAGCTTCTGAGGAGGTGGGGGGAGGCAGTGCCACCACTGTCCCTGCACGTGCCCGTGCCTTTTGGCAAGGTCTTTCTTCCCCAGCTCAGTGCTCCTCGCCAGCCCTCGGCAAAAACTGAGCATGATGGAGCAATGCTACCCCAGATCCTCCACTTTGCATCCAAGAGCCTGCCAGTGCTTCACAGAGGAACTCAAGCATCACCTCTTTCCACGGGAGGAGAAAACCAGGCACGCAGAGATTAAGGTCCAAACTTTTCTTTTGGTTTCTGACAGTCAGTTTTGGGCACTCTGGGAGGTGCTGAGCATCCGCAACACCAGGCAAAGCCCCAAGGAGCTGCGGGTGCTCAGCACTTCTGGCGCAGTGCCCTTGGGCTGGATGCACCCTTGGCAGAGGCCAGGCTAGGAGGAGGAGGGTGAATTAAATGTCTTGCTCGAGGGCAGCACAGTGAGTCAGTGGCAGAGGATGACTCTTGGCCCAAGGTCTTCCTTTTCTTTCACTTTGCCCGTAACACACAGCAACTTGAAGGAGATTAGAGCTGCAGGATGAGACCATGCTCTGTCATTTTGTTTGCTCAGTTCTGGTGTGGTCGACTCCTGACCTCCACCAGGTACCTGCCTCTCCTCTGAAAGAAGGATGCTGCAGATCCCCAGTGCTACAGGAATGAGGCCAAGGTGAGCTGACTCCCAGTTGGTGGCCATTTAACTCCTGCCATGGCTTTCAAGGAGGAGGAGAGGAGGAAAAGCAGCAGTTTCTTAATCTGAGCACTAACAGCTCTGCTAAAGCCAGGCAGACTTGCAGTCCAATTTGAGGAGTGAGAAATGGCATGCTATCGAAATCCTCCCCTGTTGCAAATTTAACACCAATTCCTACCTACAGAAATAGCCTATCCCCCAGAAAACCAGAAGGAGGGACATTACTGGAAGTACTTTTAAAAAGAAAAAAAAATGCTCAGAAAAGTATCTCTATTTAAATAATCCAGTTGAGATGTTTGTAGTTAATGGAAAAAAATACAACATATACTGTTACCTACACTGAGAAAAGAGTAAATCACTGGGGAGAAGAATGAGTGTTCATTAGTTAGAACATTGCTAGACTCACATATATATATACTTATATATATATATGTATACGTATGTACAGCACCAGAGACTGTTAGATCCGTTCCCCCTGGAGTCACTGCAGTTTGTGATAAATGAAACATTTCAGAATTGCAGTATAAAATATGGCCATAAAAAAATCTTCTTTCTTCTAGTCCTTCGCTGAGCGTGCACTGCCGGGTGGGATTGCGCAGCGGAACCCCGCCAGCCCGGCCGCCTGCCCGCTCCTCGCCGCCCCGGCTCTCACTTGCTCCCTGTGTGCACTGTGGTCACTGTGGTGGGTCTGGGTCTCCGGTCCCCTCCTACCGCAGAAACGCCTGAAGAAGCAGATGAAACAAAACTACAGAGAGTGGATGGAGACATACCTAAAAGGAAAGCCAGAAACACAGTTAGAAATGTTATTTTTGGAGGCGGGAATGTGGGCAAAGCTGAGTTTCTTTCGTAGCATGCTACAGAGCAGAGGGGATTGCAGCTGGAGACGGCACTCCTGCTCTTCCTGCAGGGGTGGTTTGCCTGGGTACCTCCACTGGGCATCTTCTGCCCTCCTGGCCCACGGCCGGCTGCCTACTGCCACCGCCGCCAGTTGTGTATACATGTCGCAATAAATAAATGTCCAGCTTTGGTACATGTTCAGTCAGACTGATTCCATATTTTTAGGGCTGAAGATGAAGAGTTCTGGGATTCAAAAGTCCCTCCAGCGCTGTACTTGCTCAGAATAATTTTCCTCATTGGCATGTTAAAGATGATTAAACTTCTCATCATGGCCATCTAGCTAAAAGAACAGACTGTGCACCTGGACTAAAAAAATTTCCTCAGGCATCCTGCAAAGCTGCTGATAAAAAAGTACAGTCGGTCAGATTCGTTGGTCAGTTCCAGTAAACCTAGAGGGAATGTAAATTTGTGTGACTTGGACATCATTCTAGCAACAGCTTATGTCGCTCCAGGTTTTGCTGGTATGTCTCCAGCACTTCCAACTAATAGACGTAGGTCGACGTAGGTTGACTCAAAATTTACCCTGGCAGTTCCTTTTTAACTAATCAAGAACTTCTGACATATTTTTTTATGAAAAAAAAGGGGGTTTAGCTATATTAAAATGTTTATAGAAAGTGTCCGCTCCCAGTGAACCTCCACCACAGTTTAAAATACCAAACCCTCCAAAGCATAACCCCTGAAAACCCCAAGCAGGCTGGGTTTTGAACGACAGATTCAAGATTTTGCTATTCCAGCACAACGTCAGCAGTTTCTATGGAAAACATTAATGAAGAGAAATAAAATACATCCTTGCCAGAGCTTTCCATGGATGAACTACCCCTCTCCCAGCAGCTGCTGAGACCCCACAGGGGAGATCCTTAGCCTTTGCTGGCACGTGCAGCTCTCCATGAGGTTTGGCAGCCGTGTAGGCACTGATGTGCAAAGGCAGCTCTGGTGCAAGAAAAGCTGCCAAACGGGCACCCGGCACGATCACTTTATTCTGACAAGATGCAAACTCAGAGTGATTAGAAGCACAGTTCACTTTTTCAGCCTGGTGAATAAAGGATGGATGAAACCTATATTAATATATTCTGGGACTGGAGTTTGATACGGGCCCTTGATTACTCAGGATCTTTTTGATGCTTGTTATGATTTTTACCTACTTTTCTGTGCTTCAAGGTGGCATTTCAACCTCAGGGATAACTACGCTGTACCTACGCTCAGTGACATCCCGTTTCCCAGCAGTATCGACATTTGACATCTTGGCTTCATGCTGCAATTTATCTATTACCTTAAAGATACAGAGATCTAGGTGCTGTGATTAATCTAGACAGTCCAATCATGTCTAAACAGACTAAACCAGGCATGGGCTGAGAATCAGGCCAATACACATGAGAAATCCTGACTGGTTCACTTGGACTTTCCTGAATCTAGCCTAACACATCTTTTCTGCTCCGCCCTAATACAGAGAACAGAATTAGGATGCAGCCTGACATAACTTACTCTCAGGCGAAGGCTGTATTTAATTGTCTTCAATGTTGTGAAATTGCTGCATTTGAAACTATTTGGAGAGCTCATTAAATGTCTGTTAATAGCATTAGGTGGTATTATGTTTTGCAATGGTGGCACAGCTGTTTCATGTCACTTGCTGCATGGGATCTTTCTCGTGCAAGACATCTGTCCCCAGAGAGCATCGCTGAGAAAGAAAGAGGCAGGACAGAGACCTCAGAGTTTTTTTTTTTCCCAACAGGAGTGAGAGAGTGTGTCTGATATGTCAGCTCCCTCTTCATGTCACTCCTTGTATTTGGTGCTGGCTCTCGTCACTGGTTCTCTGGGGCTCCGGCATCTCCTAACTCTTTAATTAACTTCTTTGAGGAAGGGAAGCTCTTCTGTATTGTCTGCCAAGCTGGATTTAACCTGGGATGCTTGGAAATCTTAGATACTTTTCTGCCTCATATTTCTGACATGAACAAAAATTCACCTATCTTAACACATCTGGTTTTATCCTTCATATCCTGGCTGACTTCTCCATCACTGCAAATCACGGCCGGATTCTGTGCGGGGACCTGCTGGACTATGTAGCGATTAAACAGACTTTGTTCTCTTCCCACCCTTCTTGTTCACAGATGTTTTTCATCACTATTCAGACTATTCAATGCTATTAATTAACACTATTTGAGATTAATCAAATGGCTGGATGGAGATTAGTCCCCCACTAGTTTAACAGCAAAATATGTCATCAGATGCTCTAAACCTAACTGGGGTCCAGCTTAGCCACACTGCGGCAGGAGCCAAAATAAAGACATGTTTCTTCCCTGAAAAGGGTTTTCTACATCACTGCATTGCCAGTGTAGGGTTGGAATGGCTTTGCTGCTGGTCAGCATCTGGCTTCTTTGCAGGTGCCAGATGTGTGCCAGGAGCACAGTGATGCTTTTTTCGGCAGCAGCAGTAGAATTTGGCTCTGGGCATTGCAAACCGGGCACTGGACCTGAATCCTCATCAGGCCCACGATGCAAAGAGGAGGGGCTCTGCTCTGGCTCAGCCATGGCATAGGCTCAGAAAAACATCTCACGCAGCTCACAGAAGGCAAATCCCACCCCAGCCATGGGGGAAACTGTGCCCACGACAGCAAGAGAAACCACAGTTTTTGTCCAGAGCTGTGAGCACTGCGGCTGGTGGCATGTCCTCATCAAGGAGCAGGGGGTGGCAGGCAGGTAGCACCACCATCCAAAATCCATCTTGAACAGTAGGTGCTTTTGGTTCCAGCATAGTGTGGGGTATCGTCTAGAAACGACTGTTTCAGCCCCCAGTGAAGTAAGCACCAATTTGCAATACCATAAGCTACTCGCATTCTCGTTTGGTGCCGCACCTTAAAATAACCTTCTCTATTTGTAAAGTTCATGTCCCTCCATTTCGTGATACAAAAATCTCTACAGATGGACAGAAGGGAATAAAGGAAATGCTCAGAAGCCAGAGATTAAATAGGCTTCATTGCAAAGGGAGTGTTCCTGTCTTCCAAATGATCCCTTTGCTGCCATGTCTCCTTCCCTGGCATTCAGGGAAAATATATATCCCAAGCATGTGACTCCATCGAGCAGCTTGCAAATCTCAGTTACAGCATATAACAAACAAGGCAGCGGGCCAAGTCCCACCGTGGTGTACAGAGCCTGAGTTCTGCTCAGACAAATGAGGCTCTTCATATAGGATCTTAATTTGGCCCAGGAAGAGGGAAGCTGGGTCAGACTGGCAGGATCAGTCTCCTCCATGGAAAATGGAATGGAAAGCAAGCCAATTTTTACAGAAAAATGTCTTATCATAGTACTGGAAACTCAAACACAAACAGTTTGAGTAAACTTTTTCAGCTTTCAACCAACTGCAAAGCTTTTTTTACTGTGGGGATCTGGGTGTTTTTCCCAAGCGAAAGCCCTTTTTCTCCACAAGAAACAGTGTTTTTCTCTCAAAAATGCACTGAGCTAAAAACTCATATTTTTTTAGCACATAAACTTTTCAACTTGAATTGTTACATTTTTGGCCAGCTAAAAACGAAGGCCTCGGTCCCTTTTCGGTCTGTATTTTCAACACCTGCTTGCACAAAGCTGAACCTACTGGCAGCGAGGACTGCAGCCTGGGGGTCAAGGAGAAAATGGGAATCCCACGAATTTGCTCGGCCACCATGGCAGGAGCTTTCCCGGGATGTCGGCTACTCACAATCTTTCCGGGTGGCTGCGTCGGGAAGCGGCGCGGCGAGGCTGAGGGTGCTGGACATGCTGGCACTGGCACTGTCCAGGCTGCTGCCCAGGTGTAACCGTCTCATGTGTCGCACGACTGCTGTGGCGTTGAACGCTTGCTGGAGGAAAAAAAAAAAAACGAGAATGAAAGGAAGAACAAAAAAATTGGAGGTGGAAGAGTTACTTCTGCTCCTCTCCTGGCTGCTCAGGGTTGTCAAAAGTGAATGAGTCCATCATCTTTTAATTTTTTCCTAATTCCTAGTTTCTAAGCTAGAAACAGCAAATCAAACCACAGCATTTCTGCCCTGCTCCTGCTCCCCATCGTTCCTTCTAGCACTCAGCTGGCAGCCCACAAAGAAAGTCATATTTGACACATCCTTCCCTGCACCAACACACAGGGTGTCCTCATTGTTTCATAGCCCGTCGAGATGCTGACCACAACTCCACATATATCCATGGGTGCTTTAGCTATGAGCAGCCCCATCTCTCACACTCATTGTGTTTATATACTTGGTTAGTAGCATCCTCTATAAAAGGCCCTGCAGGCTCATGTAACCTAAGTCTGGACCCACTATTTTGACCAAAATTTTGGGCCACAAAAGCACTAACACACAGAAAGGGTGGTCATATGGCTGCCATGTTAGCAGAGTTACGTGCCGAAGCATCGTCCCTGAGGACGGGTCACTTACTCTCCATTTGCTTTTTGCAAAGTTCTTCCGGATTTGAGCGCTGACCGACTCATGGATGTTTTTGTTGAGTGCTGTATCACCAGCGATCCTGAAATGGATAGACAAGACAAGTTCTAAGAGATCTTTTGCTCTCCTTGAATACTCTTTCTTCTTTTCCTGGCTGGTCCAAGGCGTGATTGCTCCTGCAGTGATGATGATTTCATTCACACGAGGGCTCAAATTTCCCACTGCTGTCTCTGTTGGCAGCAGTGGTGGAAAATCTGGGGCAATAAAAGCAAGCGTAGATAAGGCTTGTAGGTCTGGCAGCTACAAAGAGGTACGACCGTATTTTGTCAGTGCGTGGCTGCTTTCTATCACCATTACAGCCCTAGATGAAAACATTCTACCTTTTTTTTTTTTCCTTTACATCTAAAGATTTAACATCAACAGACTGAGACTACTTTAGCCTCAGCCATGCAGCAGCTTCCAGAGCCACTCCAACCTGTCTGATTTCTGTTTGCACTGGAGATTTTCCTGCCACCCTGCAACGTACATAGTCATTCATCATGATTAATGTGGATTTACAGTAAAGCAGATACACGGATGCTCACTAAAGCAGCATAGGCTGCACAAATAACTTAAGCTGAATAACAATCTAAAAACTTAACTGATCTTGCACAGTTTCTTGAACAAATAAAGACACATTCAAATCCCGAGTAAACACAACTGTTTCAAGGGAATTTTATTGATTCTTCTAACTCCTCAAGGCATGAGATCTGTTGGAAGAGCAGGCACCACACTGAACCAATGTCAGGCCATGTGCTGGGGTGATTAGTGCTATCTGATGTAGGTGAAGCCAGGAAGCAAAGATTGCCTCCTATGTTGCACGTGACATTTTCAGAAATCAGATTTTAGCCACGGTGTAGACACCCAATGCCCATTAGCAACAAAAAATTATAAGAACTTGAAGAATCCATCAGGATCAGAGCCTTCCAGTCTGAGGACCTCCAATAAAATAATCAGAGGGTCTGGTGGACTCAGCGGTCATCTAGTCCTTCCCCCCCCGCCCCCAGCTCTGTCAAAATAATTTTGACAGATATTTGGCTAACCAGTCCTTAAAGATCTCCAAAAGATGGAGACTTCTCAGGCAATCTATTCCAATGCCCCACTATCTCCCAGAAGACATGGAAAATAGTTTATTCCCTTTGTCTTTAAAGTATCCTTTCACATATTTGAAGACTGTTATCATGTCTTCTCTCTGTCTTCTCTTCTCTAGACTAAACAAAATGATTCTTTCAGTATTTCTTCATAACTCATATTTTCTAATCCTCTGATCTAGTGAGCTTCTCTGGACTTTCTCCAGCGAGCCCACATCTTCCTTAGAGGGCGGTACCCAAAGAGTTCACTGTTTTCCAACTAAGGCAGCAGAATGGCAGTATTGCTTTGTGTTTCTTAAAAGACGAATCTCTGCTTACATACCCCAGCCTACTGTTTCCATTTATGTGTCCCATGAATGGGAGACATTCCTTTCATTTTGCACAGGTCGTTCCAAACTGTAACCCTGTTTTTTGAAGTACATGCAACTTTTTCTACCTCTGTGTCCACAGCACATCTAAGAAGTACTCTGTGGCGCCAATCTCCTCCAAATTGCTCATTGCCTTTCTGCTGGCAACATTCACCCAAGATGTGAGAGAAATGAGATGAACTACTTGTTCTGGGGAGGAAAGTGAGAGACTAACTCCCATCTCCCAAGAGTGGAGAGCCACCAATCCCATCCTGTTGCAACTGAGCTAATCTATATTGAGTTATTCAAGAGTATTGGAACCAGCAGGACTGTGGGCAGGAAGGAGCAGGTTCCCACTCAGCGTAGCCTACCTCCAGCTGGGAAGGGCACTTGGCTGACTGTCACTGCCACATAAGCTGTAACTCAAGTAGACAGAAGAACTGGCACCATGAGCAAAGCATGGCTCCCAAATGGCACCTGACAACCTCTCTTGAGTCCCTGTGTCATTGATGGAGAAGGGGAGGTGTTTGACTGAGAAGTGGAAAATCTTCAGATCTTCCTCTGAAGAGGATTCCTTCTGATTACCTCTCTCACTGACAGTGAGGCAAGTTGATCTGGATTTCTGTATTTCCCTAGCACGAAATCATTGTGTGAAGTACCTCCTCCAGCTTTACTACAGCCACACCTACATGGCCCAAACGCCATGACATAGAGTGTCCCTGACTGCCTCCAGGTCACTTCTATGAAGAGATGACCCAGCATCCTGAGAAGACTCTAGTTGCGTTGCCTGCCCACACAGCTCTCTAGCTTAGCTGTACAAGTGCTTGCAGATTTGCACACACTTTCCTTGCACTCATTCAGCCTTTTGGTGCAGGCAGGTCCTACGGTCATTCCAAAATGTCATGAGCACTCTGCTCTGTCCAAGGACACCTCTCGGTGAAGGTTCTCCTTGACATGAGCCAGCTGGGAGCACAGACCTTCGTACTACAAATCTGCAGAAGAAAACTAAAAGCTGAACACTTAATACATGGACAGCTATAAGCCAAAGTATCTGTTCAGTAACTGATCAAAAAGACCAAGCTGTAAAGAGAAAATTTACTTACATGTGCAAAGAACATTTTTCCTCCGAAGTTAATGAAGCATTTTGCTTTATGAACAAGTTTGTTAACAAGCTTTATAAGCACAGATTATGTTTCCCTCTTGTCAATTTTTATTTTGGAAACATGGGCAGACCAAGTTCTTGGGGTATGATACCCTTGCCAACTCTTCCAGAAGGTCTTTCCTGCCAGCCTCCACAAGGACTTGCAAATGCATTTTTGCTATATGAAACTTTTCATTGGGTGTGTAGCTCAAATACAGGCTATATTTTTTGAGTTTAGGGATCATTTTCTGAAATGCCGGTGGTTTCAGTAAGAAACTGCTGGCTCAAATAGTTCACAAACTGTGTTCTACCACCACTAACTCTATGTTCACTCTGCAATTCTGGTAATTGCGGAAAAATAGTCTCTGTATTTGGGTGTTTCCCAATAGGGAGAATAGTAGTTGTTTACTTTACAAGGGGATGGATCCTGTGAAGCCCTCAAATGCTACAGTGATGGGGACCATCCTACATCTAAGGTCTCTTCAGCAGCATTAGCACCTTGCAGATGCTAAAGCAAAACAACAGCAGTGCTGGGGCTAATTTAGCGCAGCAGGCTCAGTTCAAACACATGCTGGTACGCTGAACGATGTGGTCCAAAACGTAGCCCTGGCTGCCAAAGCCAGGTGTGGGATTGCTCTCCAAGATGCCTCTGAAGACCTATCCTGTTAACGGTGCAATGTTGTAACATGAGGACTCTGCTTTATACTGTTTTTTGCCTTGGAGGATCTTCAAAATTTATACTTATGGCATTATAGTGTTTACTGTATAGGTTTACTTCTAGGAAAACAAAAGAAAAGTTAACATCCATTTGCTGTTGGTGTTTTACTGGAGATGTGGTGGTTTAAGGACACACGCAAGGCAGGTGGAGGTTTAAGGACACACGCAAGACAGGTGCAGGTGAGCAGGTAGATGTTACATCTTTTATATAATCAGCTGTTAGAGTTTGAAAAACGAGATAAGATACCTGAGATGGGTATCATGAGCATCATCACATCTATACTGAATGTATTTAATCACAAACTTTAGTTCCCATGCTGAGAAGATAATGCATGAAATTTAATATAAATACTGTTTTTACAGCATGTTATAATCACCTTTCCCTTACTTTCCAGGCTATAAACCATCTTGCTTTTCCTTTTAGAACAAAAATACCTTAGCACCTTTCTTTCTTCCTCCCTCCCCTGCAAAACATATCCTTCTCCTACAAGAATCAGCTCCATTCTCCCTGAGAAACAGCCATCTTGTGTTTCAGAGATGATCAAACTGATGCATATCTAGTCAAACCCTGAGCAATAGCTCTTGGGTTTGCAGTTAACTTTGAAGTTAACTGTGTCAGCGCTGACGCTTGTTTTTACCAGTTATACCAGTTCGCCCAGTAAAAGATATTACTTCTACCTACCACACACATCTACAAAAAGAAAATTAAACAAATCAGAATAATACATGATCTGTTATCATGCTGAGCATCACCTAGAACCGAGCAAGGGCTGATTAGCCTAACTGGAATGTGGCTTTTCTCTCAGGGTCCCCGTTTTGCAGCATCTGAAAACAGCTACATACTGACAGGGTTTTGGGGAACTTTGTGTTGAAGCTGGTCTGACATCCAGTTGTAAATATGTGTGTCTCAACACACAGAATTGGATACCAAGGGCCACAATCTGACGACTCTCCATCACAAATACTTCCACTGAAGCTAAAAAGGATATTTCTCATGAATAATCATAACGAATCCGGCCCTGCACGAGAGGAATCTAATCTAATGATCAAATATTGTTTCATAGTATCTAATTTATTGTAGCTCTCTATCCGGGTTCAAAGCTATCACAGCAATTTATCTGGCCATACCACTTCGAAGCTTTGAGAGAAACCTCCAACAAAGACAAAAAAAGTAAATTTCCTTTTGGACAATTCTTCGTTAGCATACTGCAAGCATATGTCTCTCTCATCCTCCCTGCCCACGATGGCAGACAGTCTTTATTCTACTATTATTTTCTGAACCTTCGTACTGAAGGCAGCCGACTCAAACGCTGCGCTGGCCAAACAGTGCTTGGAAATACTCTTGAGTATGATGACAGGAAACACGGAGTTAGCTGTAATGGATAATGCTGAAGGATCATAACTCTTCTATACATACACAAACATATACACATGCATGCATATAAATATACACACACACATACTGTATCAGTGATGATCCAAAATAAATAGAGTGCAGGGACGAACTCGATAAGAGTTTGATTTAATGTTGTAAACATCAGCAGTTCCCTTCAGGGAGCCCTTTTCACACTTCAAACAACGTTGTCTGAGAACTGAGCTCTTTGTAAACCATGTCCTTTCCCTGGGTGGAAAGTATTATCTGGCTCGCGCTCTCTGGCACATAATAAACACTCAGGGTCATGGTCACAATTTGCAGAGGCTCGATCCTTGCCAAAGCTTTGGGACTCGTTGGTGTAGGCGGGGATGG